GAAATCTTTAAAGGACCATAGGAACCACAGAGCTTTAGAAAGTGATAATGCATTTAGTGAACAGCAGCAGGCTTCAGAGTGTTTTATCTCTTATCAGTGGTTATGCCTTTTGAATGGGGAAAATGCGAGCGTAATGCAATTTTAAATTCCTGTTACATGCAAAGATGCACATGACATTTGCTTTGCGAGGCTTATTCCTACAATGGCTAATGTTGTTAGAAACAGCGAAACTTTCCAGTTGGGGAGAATATGTTGAAAGGCTCCAAAGCGTGTTCCTTATCTTTCCAGAAATGGGGTCTATTTTCTACGGCTACACGTCTTTACCTTCAGCATTTGCTAGCATGGCACAATGCAAATGTAATGTCTTTGCACAAACCTCTCTTTCTGATATTCATGCTCGCCTCTTGAAAGATAAAGCGGAGCTAAGCAGGAGACAAATAGCTAGTCTCTTGCTTCTCGGTGGACGTATCCCTTTAATTTTTAACGCCGATTTACAAACTACCAAATAACTTGCCTTCTCTGAAAGAGCTCAGATGCTTCAAAGGAAATTCTAGACTTCTCTGAATAGGTAGTATGCTGCTACTACCTTAATAGTAGGATTGTGGCAGAAAATCACAGGCGCTGGATGACGCTGAACTATAAGAAGGTTATCCATTTCCTGCAAGTATCCAGGATGTTGACTTCCCTCCAGGGATTATAGCGGTAGCAGAAAGCAGGTTGCAAACGTCTTGTACATGAAAGCTCTCTGCTTCCACGCAGCAGATTTTAGTTTCCCCCTCCTCTCTCTCCCCTGCCCATTCACGTTGCATATTTGGTCCTGGATTTTTTGAATTTCTCCCCTTTCCTGCAGGAAAAGAGTATGCCGTGCTTTTTAAAATGAGAATTCAGTGCATTTGCCGGACAGGACAGTTTTAGATGGCAAAGGTTCAGGACTGAAAGGTGAGAGTGCCCTTCAATGAACCGCTGCTAGCACTGTCTCCCTCCGCTCCAAGAAATGCTGTGATTTCAAACAATCTTCTCCAATGCTGTATTTCTTTTTTCAATGTTTCTGCCTTCTGCACATCAAAGATCCTCATGTTACTTTCTTTCCCTGTTAACTGAGCAGTTAAAAGTTTTCTCCTTTGCTTTATTCTGCTATGCAATGAACTCTGACATGCTTTGACTGCCACAATCCAGTAATCATCCTACAGTGAACTCATGTGGAGGGGCTGAACTTCTATAACTCTTTGGTCTGAGACTTGCTCCCTTTTACGATGCCACAATTAAAGCCATACTTGCACGTGGCAATGCAAACAAACAAAAGCCCACCCCTTACACTAACACCGGTCATTCAAGGGGTGCACTAACTCGGAGGATTACAGACTGATTCATTAAGCATCAGCTTGGTTACTACACACGCAAACTCGCACGATAGTCGCATGGATGACGGTTCTTTTAGCGCTATGGTTTTAATTAAACGCTCACCCCAGCTGTTATGCTAACCGCTGGATAATATACATTTAAAAAAAGAAAAGCTGAGACATCTAGCCAGTTTTGGGAACTCTGATTGCCAATGGCAAAATTGTTTGACTTTTAACGACCAGCCTGACGTACCTATTTCTACGGCAGATGGGTCATATAAGAAATGTGGATAAGATAGTGGTGTGAAGACACATGCTGGGACTTTAAAGCAAAATGCAGCATGTTACTGAGGCCCTATGAAGTCAAGAGTTACAATACATAAGAGCATTTATCTTTACCTTTAGTGTTCATTAGTAACACACTTCTTTGATTGGCCTTTTAAAGCATTTTGGATGTGCAGGGCTGCCTACACTGCAGCATCAGAGCTCAGTGCTGCACGGCTGCCCTGGCTGGCAGAGACTTGCTGGCCTCTCTGGGGTGGGTGGATCTGCAGGCACAGAAGTCCAAGATACATCTCCCATTGACTTCAGCAGAAACAGAAGCATGCATCCCCCCTTTCCTTCTGATGAGTGATGGGAATAAGCTATTTGAGAGAAACAAATAGGAAAATGCTGACATCTGCACACAACTGTCGGCCTGATGCATAAGTATACTAGCCTGTGGGCTTGCAGCTCTTTAGCACGGGCGGTCAGCGTGTGTATAAAATAGGAGCTGAGACCATTGTGAGTGGTGAGATCTTAGGGTGCAAGTGGCTCAGGGGAGCAACCAGCTTGTACAATGAAAATGCAAACCCAAGGTCAGGTTGTACTGTACAACCGACAAGTGCCGCACGACACCGAACCCTCCATACTCCGGGACTATCGGCTAGATTGGACCGGAGATTCCTCACCATACCAAACACTACCACAAAATAGTTTCTCTCTGGCTAAGCATAATGTTTCCACTGTTATGCAGTAAAGAACAACCTCACCCACACACACGCATCACGGGAGCAGGTAGGGATCGATGGGAGGTGAATACAAATTGAGAGAAGAGAGACATGACATTGGTCAGCTCGTGCACTTTCTCGTTCCAACAAAATGCTAAACCTGAAGTCCGCTGCGTGAGCATCCCTTAGGGCATGTGGCTTCCATTAATACAGCTGTGGCTTGGCTCAAAACATGTGCTAGAAAGGGGACCTCCAAATGAAACATGCTTTCCGCAAGATGCAGGCGTGCATGGTTTGCTACGGATGCACCTTGCGTCCTAGACCACCTGTCCTCTCTGTGCAGGGCACCTTTTTTTCCTCTTATTGATTCTGCATCACTAGGTCTTTATGGTTTTGCCGTGCAAGGCTATTGCTGTGTTGGGAGCTGCAGACGGGCATACGCTCAAGGCAAGTCCCTCTCTCTTCCTGGAGAACCTGCCCCACTTTGCAAAGGGCCAACACACGGCCCGTGGCACCTCACAGGCCCTGCTCAAGGATTGAAGTGAGGTGCGTGCGGGATGTGGTGGCAGCAGAGTCGAGGCATCCTGCTGCAGCTCCGTTAAAAAGCCTGGGTGAAGGATGTGCCGCTCGACCCAGCTGTCACCCAGGCTAGAAGCAAAGGCAGCAGGATGGGATGCCAGCTGCATCGCTCCCTGCTGCGCTACAGGAGCTGGCGTGCCTTGCTTGCACTGGTCTGATGAGTCCTATAGGCTTGGGTGGCCCCGTGTGCACCTGCACGGTGGGGAGCAGCGGCATCGCCCATGGGGTTTACCAGGGTGAAATCTGACACAAATGGGCATCTAAACATCCAGGCGCCCCTTTACAAAATGAAGATGCATCCATCCATCGCCAAGGGGCTCCAGCCAAACAAGAGCCTTTCTGGTAGCAGAGGCCATGCTCAGGGCCCCCTTCAGCCCAGTCCAGCCCAGAGAAGCAAAGGAGAGATGGCTCTTGAGGCCGTTCTGTGCCGCAGGAAGGATGCTCAGACTTCCCAGCGGCTGCACCGCGAAAACCGTCACGACACTTGGCACTAAAGTGCAGAGCAGAGCAAGGACGCACTGAGCTACTCTCAATTTCCTGCAGAGCTGGGCGTGCTGGCAGCACAACCTTGAGAAGGGGACGCTGTCCTATTTCTTACAGAGCCGGTTCTGGTCCACGACCCGGCACCTTTCACTAGTGCTACGAGCCCTGTGGGAGCACAGCCCGAGACGGCCAGTACTTTGCAAGGAGCACTGTTTCTGCAAACCTCGTTACCACCAGGTGCACCCACTGGCTTCCGAATCGGAGGATAGAAAACCGCGGTCCCAATGTAACGTGACGTGTTAAATAACAAATGCGGCAGTAAATGGATTCCACCGGGGACTACGAATGGGCCGATGGTCCCGGAGGTAACAGACACAGTCAGGCGCTAAATTGAAGACGGTAAAAGTCTGTAATTGTCCCACAGGTGTCATGGGCTTCGTCTGTTCTGCTTGACGCTGCACCACCAGATCCCACGACATGGGTTGACAACACCCACCCTCCCCTTCAACCAACCCTCCCCTCCCCTTCCCTCCCCCCAAATCAACTCATTTGAATAACAAGATAAATATGATGTGCTTCTCCTTGCTGAGTGCATTGACTTAAGGCATAGGCACAATTCCCCCTCTTTGAACAGAGATGGTATAGTCCCGTGTCCCAATACAATCGTTATCCTGGGTGACCCTTTGCATTGCAATGTTGACTTGGACATAATAATTACAGGAATAAATAGATAACAAATGGTTTGAACTCGTTAATTAACCTAACGGCAATACTAGGAGAAATGGAGAAGTCCGAATTTTTAACCTTTAGGAAGGGTACGGATGATTGGCGCCTTTGTTAGCCAACACCGTCCACTTCAAGTCGGGAGAAGAGCACCGAAGCGTTTCCACTGACTTTGGACCAGCTCCTAAATGTCTGTTGAAAAGAGAAAATCAGAATTTCATACTCTCAAGCCCCCAAGCAAATGGCTTAATTAGAAAGCGGTGACAGTGTCTCTTTTTTTGGCTATATTTAGCTTAGAAATCTGTTTGCGACCCATCAGCTCACCTTCCCTATGATTAGGGGTGTGCTTGAGGGTAATATTTTTCAAACTCATCTAAGTGACTTAGGAGACAAGGTCCCCGTGGAAGCCAGTGGGACTGGAGCGCTTTTGAAAACATACTGGGGAGTCAGTGATGGGTCCAAACCCACTCTTCAGGCTCGAGTCCTAAAGGACCCGGAGCTGAACAGCCTGACTTTTCAGTGGTCTGGCTTTGTTGCAACACTCATAAAACACTTAAAAAATTTCTCTTTCTTAATCAGCATCTCTGATATTTGCCATCTGCATAAAGTGGGAGTGACCTCAGATTCTTCTTATGCAAAGGCAGCAATTTTGGATAACCCCTTTCTTTTGAATGCCTCGCAGGTAGGCTTTTGTCCAAATCTTAAATCGTCTCACCTTTGCCAGGTGTGCGTAGCTATGGAAAAGAAGCGTTAGCCAGAACCTGGGACATCCAGACAGGCAGGTAGGGCGGACCAGGACACCTGTTGACTGAA